TATATATATACATATATAAATTTATTGAAGAATAAATAAATAAACTAAGATTGATAAAATGTGAAACATCAATCAAAAATTGAAATTATTTTCTACGTTTGAATTGAATTAAAATGATTTTTATCGATTATCGTATCGATGCTATTACTCTTTCGAGATCTATATTACCAATAATAGGTGCGAATAAATCATTAGATAATTCTCCGGGACAGCAACTAGTAAGGATAGGTAATAAAAACATAATTTGTGTCAATCTATGACCATGATCACCTTGTTTTCGAAGATGACTGATGAAAGTTTCCACAGTTGATTCCCTCGCTTTCATCATTAATCGAACACCATCCGAAGTTCGAGCGATTTCTATATTTAATAGAATGATCGTTATTTAAATAATAATCAATAACGAACGGATATTAACACTAGATTTATGGAACCCATCAAAATGACGGGATTTCGATTGAATGCTTTTAAAAATTTTGAACATTCAAATACTATTCTTTAAATATTACATATTGATTAAATAAAAAAAAAATAAAAATCGTGGCGAAGATCTTACAAATAAAATATTTCATCGTATAAATAATTCAGAAAAACAAATATACAATCTTGAAATTATTTTTACGATTGTTATTACAACAACTACAACAACAACAACAATAAAATATAATTCTTTTACGTTTACCTGGTCGACATAAAACGAAGGTTTCCAAAATGGACAGTTCAGTATCGTCTAAACGCAAATTGGAAATTGTATTACGTGCTGATTGTAAAGAAGCGAATGCATTTTCGTTTCCTGTTGCATTTGTAGTACCGAGATTCGTTAAATCGAAGGGCCAAGTAGCTGCACGTAATACGAACACCGCTGACCATGTTTTTCGAAGAATCACATTTTGTTCTTCTATATCGAGTATTGAAAAATTACGGTGTCGTCGTGCACCACGTATCGTAGCGAGAAATATTTGCGCCGATATTTCATACCGAATGGCATCACCTGAAAAAAATAATTTCTTTTCTTTTCTTTTTCCTTTTTTTCATTAAAATTTTAAATATATATATATTTAATGTAATTTATATATTATATAATGTAATGTAATGTAATGTACTATTTGTTGCAATTATAATGCAATATAATATATATATATTACATAGATTTAAAATAAAATGTCATTAATACGTCAATCACAATATACATTTTTAGTGACGTATAATTTTGTAAATTATCATACATGTATATTTAATAGATAAAAGATACAAAGGAATGTTTGAAAATGAAAGTCCCATAATAATTATTATAAAGAATTTAAACGCAGTTACCATTTATCGTTAATTTATTACAACGCATCATGCAAAATATTTTTCTGTTCAATTACCAGGTGCAATGATTCTTGGAGATTGCACGTGTCGTAAGATTGCAGGAAGCAATGCTTCGTTGTCACTTTGCGGCTCGTAAAACGATTTTATGGATGTACTACTCATCGTGTTCGTTTTAAATATTAGAGGAATCTCGAACGTATTCAAATGTCTTTTACAAGAATCATTTGCATTGTTTCTCGATTTCCAAATGGCATTTGAATTGTTATTCGACGATGAAATTGTTCGATTTCGTATACGTGGTCCTCTTTCCTCTTGAACGGCTACAACAAATGTTCTTGTTGTTTTCATCGCTTTTTTTTTTTTTTTTTTTTTTTTAAATTCGTGAATTACTTGAAACAAGAAAAAACCTTTGAATCAACATGGAAATAATGTAATATTTTTTTTTTTTAGAATTATTTTTACTATTATTACGGTTTTTTGTTTTTAATGGTTGCAAAGAATAATTTGCACTCGCTAGCGATGTATAAATTTCTAATATTGGACTTTGATTTTTGAATGTAACATAAATCTTGTAATCTTCGAAAAGAACTACCATTTTCTATTCAGAGATATTAATCGTGTGGGGTTCGCGAAGAAAACACCCTTAAGCTGTCCGTCAAAAGGTAAATAAACTTGGTTCATCCACGAGTTGTGACTACGATGCTTGATGTAATTTGATTGTCCATTGTGGTTTCTCTGAGCTGTCGTAGTTTTATTTACCGAAATATCACTTGGAAACGTTCATTACGATCGATAATTCACTTTCTTAGAACTTTTACCTTCTCGCAACAATTTTCTTAGTAGATATTATTCAATAATTACATTTTACTAACTCCATTAGAATTTCATATTATACTTTTATTACTTTCTTGAATTTTCACAAATATAATATATTAAACTTTTCGAAATATTTGAAATATTAATTTAATTTATTCAATAATAAATCATATTTATGTCAATTCAAATAATTTTTGAACATTTTTAATAATATATATAAATATAACTATAATAAACTATTTTATCTTTCAAGTTGGATGAAACTACACAAAGTGTGCAAAATTTGATTAAAATCGGTTCAGTAGTTTAGAAGTCCATTGCGGACAAACAACGTGACACGTAATTTATATATATATATATATATTAAGATTTTTTACACCATATATAACTGTGTGAACGATTTCTTTGAAAAGTATTTACCTAAATTGTGTCGTCAAAATGAAATTGTATAATTAATTGATTTATTTATTATTCATTTATTTATATTATTTAAGTATAAATTAATCATGTTTTATTTAATGAATAAAATTAATTTACATGGGAATAAAATTGTAGCTTAGCAAGTCGATCGTTGATTAAACGTACCGAAACAAACCTAGCATTACTAATCACGGAAGTGTCAGCACGTGTTAAACAACACTGACACGCGTCCTTGTTTGCATCTTGTTCAATTCGTTATCACCTGTCCTAAGCATGAGAATTGTGATTCTTTTAATATGTTTATGGTAGTTGAACTTTGAACCGATTTAATGAAATTTGTTGTTAGGTAATTAAGAGGATAACAACAAAATGATCATTATCCAATTAATGTTATTTAATAGGATATAAAATTAATTGATGATCAATAAAAACATTTGTAAAGTTTATTTATAAAAAAGAAATTTCTTGTTTCTTTCGTCAATTGATTTATTTGTGTATTTGCATGAAATGAAAGTATAACAATTAGTCATTTTGAAATTAAAAAAAAAAAAACAAAACAAAACAAATCTATTATTGTTTAATATTAATAAACACAAAATATTTTATTATTTATCGAAGAATATATGTATATATATGTAATACTTGTATGTTAAAAATTATTTAACAAAATGTTTAATAAATTGTATTTACCTGCAGTGTTCATGCCGACGGAAAAGCATTTCTTCAATCTACAATGTGGACACCAATTTCTTCGCGTTTTATCAACAGCGCATGTTCCCGTACTCGCTGCGAACACCCACGTCATTATTATCTTTATTGTTTATTGTTATTTGCAAGAAAATGAAGTAATATACGCGTTTTCCAACTAATTCTTCAATTGTCTTATATATTACAGTTTTAAAGATAAGGTTTTAGTAAATTGTTTTTCTTTTTTTTTTTTCCTTTTTCTTTACGAATATATATTTCGGATAAACAAAACAATTAATTCTTTTGTTGTTGTTTCTTTTTGTCGAAGTTATTTATTCATAAACGTTTAGCAATGAATTTTATATCGAATTATGATATTTCGATAAATAAGTATAACATAAAATGGCTGACCGATACAAGTGAAGAGAGTGCCACGACGAACGGATCTTTTGAAGAAACAGGAACAACCATCGCAGCAATAAACACCATAATGTTTCCCATAAGAACGATCACCGCAAACTTTGCAAGCAACGGGCGTGGGTAATGTTCTTCCTACGTAAAATAAAACCGATAAACGAAAGACTATTTATTCAAATAGGTGGTATATACTTGGAAATAATAATACTAGAAATTTTATCCTTGTATTATCACACATTTTATCTTGAACATAGTATAATACAGGTGTGTTATGATATTATTAATAGTTATTACAACATTTTTTATCTAATAGAATTTTCATTTACAATTTGTAATAAAATTTTTCTTTTTTTTCTTTTTTTTTCAAGTGAAAACTTCTTTAGAATCAGGATGATTTGAAAATCGTGAAACGGAAGAACGTGAAACCGATGATATGAAACAAAAATAATTAATTAATTAATAAAATTCAATATATAATTTAATTCTATATGTTAATTAATTAATTAATAAAATTCTATATATATATAAAAATTCAATTGTCACAATATTATGTTTATCTATTAATAATTTCAACAACTACTCAACTTATCTTAATGAAATTTATTTTGTTTCACGTGATTTTTTTCCAACTAAGCACATAGCACAATTTTTATCGCGATTTGTTTCTTGTTTTGATAAAAAAAAATCTACAATAAATATTAGGGATACCGAAAAGTGATCAAATAAGTAGTAAACTCACATTTAGATTGTGTCAATGAAAAATCGACGAACTTTTTAAAAAGGGAATTGAACAATTTCCTTTAAATTAAAGCTAAAAGTGTTAGAAAATATTGAACAAATTTTTTGTTGATTAACATTTAAAATTTCTTTAATAAATAAATATTTCTCACCAACAAAGAAAACTTTGGATTATTTTTCGGTCCCCTTAATATTTCATATAATAATAATAATAATAATTATTATCAAACGAAACTTACCCATATTATCAGATGTTGAGGATGAATATTGAAAAATTTCACAAATAAATCCTACTAAAAATATATATATATATATCTATTATTATATAATAATTGGAAGAATTTGAAGAGGGAAGAAGAAGAAGAAGAAGAAAAAAAAAAGGGAATAAATTATTGAAAGACAATAATAAATATGTCTGACCAGTTCGAGTGACCGAAGTGAACTCTGATCGTCTGACGTACAAACGACCAGGTTGTTTCACGATTGATATAAAAGAAAGAAGGGGGATGAAAAAGGGAATGTGGTATAGAAGAAGGGTCATAGTGTGGTCACGTGGAAAGGCTTTTTTTTTGTTTGCTCGACACGTCGTTCGAATGTCAGAACGCCGTGCGACAATATTTGATCTTCTTACCGAATGACACGATCGTTCTGCCTTGAAATCTTTCTTTCTTTCCTTCTTATTTCTTTTTTTTCTTTTTTTTCTTTCTATCTCTATATGAAACTAGGTGTAGAAAAATCATCACTATCCAATACGTGTGTATGTTTGTTTGTTTGTTTGTGTGTGTGTGTGTAATACGTTCTTCTTTCTTTCCCTTAGACGAGGGTAAAAATAACACTCGTCTTTTCGTATGACGTCAGAAGCTTCCTTCCATCTTTATTGCTTCGTATCGCAGGTGGACAAAAAAATGAAAATAAAATAATTATAATAATTATAATAATAGTAATAATAATATTATTAATATTAATAATAATAATAATAAAAGAAGTAGAAGTAGAAGAAGAAGAAAATAATAAAAAGGAAGAAAAACAATTATACAGGAACTGTGCACAATTATAATTCAGACTCGATTACGCTTAGAATTTTACAGCTTACACAAGGAAAAGTGAGGAGGCAACCTTTGGACTATGAGTCAATAAATTAATTGGGATGACTTTTACGTCCGCTTCATTTTCTTTCTTTCTTTCTTTCTTTTACACATTACATTCATACTAAACACTCGTACACACAATCATTCTTTTTTACCTTTTTTTCTTTTTTTTTTTTATTGCTCACACGAACGAAAGATTATTGTTATAAATTGATAATGCGTATTGGTGAAGTCACTAAAAAAAAAAATTTTGTGTATATATATAAAGGATCAAATGAGCTTCCGAATAATTCTGAAGCTGTGATTGATATGCACGCACCCTTATACACGAATGATATTTACAGATAATTAATCAGTTAAGTGTGTTTGACGATTATATTCGTCATGGAGAGGTGGCCAAAAATTTGGTGTTATCGATGGTTGTTGTTCGTCTATATCCGTCATGCGTCAAAGTTTGTTACAATTTGATGATGTTTAAATTGTAACAACATATGTTTCAAATAAATTTGTAACTTGTATAAATATTCGATTATTTTTCTCCGTTTATTATGTATAAATAATATATGTTCATATATTTAAAAAAAACTGTGTGTACATTACTAACAAAATTGTTCATTTTCTAAAAAAAAAAAAGTCTCTTTTTTTTTTTTGACTATCCAATATTTTGAACAGCGCCATTTACTCTGTGTTTGACGACTATATTCGTCATCGTTTAATTATCGCGACACATACTGGAGCGCATTCTGCGCACAGATCACCACACTTAACTGGTTAAGTACTCATCGCGCGTGAGTTATATTTATTATATTATTAATATCTAAGATCTCGAATGGCAAGAAGATCATAATAATAATAATAATGATAATAATAATAGTAATAATAATAATAATAATAATAATAATAATTAGTTCTAATTAAAAGTAATTTTACGCAGAGACACGATTTTTAATTTGAATTTCTCATTTGTTAAAGATAAATGAGCTATTTACAATGAAAGCAGTTTTATTTTATTTTATTTATTTATTTATTTATTTATTATTATTATTATTTTTTTTTGTTTCTTTTTTATTTTGTAATTTTTTTGTTTTTCTGTCTAACATCGTAAAGATGATGTGATCGTGTTACAATGTGTGTGTGTGTGTGTGTTCATAGAAATATCGAATAGTCGACTAAAATAGATAATTCGTGTATACGCGTATATGTAAAATGTGTTCGTATGTAGTATGTAAATGTGGTGTTTTACGTAATGATAAGTCTAATGCTCATGTAATTATTCCTTCCTTTTTACAATCTCTCGAAACTGTTAGAAATGTAATTTTTTTTCTTTTCTTTCTATTTTAATAAAATTTCGAAAAGATCGTCTCCATTCAATCAATCTGTCGGTTCTATTCAATCGTTGACTAGAGATCCAAGGTTATTCTCGTTATACGTTCCTGCATTATAATTCGATTGAGAGTTATCCTTCGAATCTTCATTTCCGGTTGTCACGCGATATATATATATATATATAGTCACGTACTAAGTATATAAATATATATATATATATATACTTATGTGTAGATGCATATTCATTAATTATTCTGTTTTTTTTTTTTATTTTTCTAATCATAACATTGAAAAATTTTTTATTTATTTACTTATAATAATATTTTTGTATATTTTTCTTTTACTCTTCGATCACGTTCTTCTAAAGTAAATAAAGCAGAATTATTTAGCTTGGATTGCACTTTCAGGAAAAAAAAAAAAAGAGAGAAAAAAAAAGTAAAAAGAAAAAACTCGCGTGAATAGAATTTTGTCTCATAATATATCTCCATTTTCTTTCGGTATTATTTAATGTAAAAGATGTATATATATATATAGTTCATTTATTTAACGTAATAGTATACGTCAAAATGATTATTTCAAATCTTTTACGTAATGATTAAAATTACGACGATGCTAAAAGTTTAGCAGCAGCTGTAACATGGTGCTGATGATGATACGGTGCCTCTTGTGTTCCATAATAACTTTGTTGTTGATGTTCGCTCGTTGGCACGTTTAATTGATGTGGATGTTGATAATATGATGAGTAAGGTTGGCCTACGATACCGTCGCAACTTCGAGGTTCCGTTTTGACGGCAGGTATACTTCCGGTTGCTAATAGGGACGTGTGCCCAAGGTATACAGGCCTTTCAGTCGGCGTCGAGGAACTTGACGATTTAGACACATCGATTTGATGTTGTTGTTGTTGTTGTTGTTGCTGTTGTTGTTGTTGTTGTTGCTGTTGTTGCTGTTGTTGTTGTTGTTGCTGCTGCTGACTATTTTTAGGATCTGTTAACAATCGTGATCAATTTGTTCATTTTATTCCAAAGATAATAATATGTGTGCTTATTTAGTTTTAAATTAAAAAAATTCGTCAAATTGTAAAACCAACCCATCGATGGTGATGACGTACTAGACGCTGTAGTTTCGTGTTCCGTCGTATTGGATCTAGCATTTGGTTCTGGCGTTTTTTTCGGTTTTCTTTTACGCGTTTGTATTCCATCCTTTCGCATTGCCAATGGTCTGTTAACACCGTGTAATTTAAAATACAATCCGCATGCATTGCACACCGGTTCACCATCGTTGTTACGCCTCCACAATGTAGTTGTTCTTGTACCACAATTTGTGCAGCATAATCCTAGCCGTCTCGTTGCCGTCTGAAATTCAGATATCTGTCCCATTTGTAAACGTATGTTGGCGTATCAGATTATTCAACTGTTATACAATTAAAAGAAAAGTGTTTGTATGTGGTGGATAAAATAATATTTATAATATATAAAATTGAATATATATACATATGCAATTAAAAAACTGGAAACCAATCGCGAGGTTTGACTCGTGAAAAAAGAAAATGATGAAAAAAAAAAAAACAAAACGAAAGAATACCTATACTTAATTTTGGTTTCGTTTTAATTAATCGATCAAAATATCATTCAAATAAGTAATTGTCATTTGGTTTTTAATCGTTGTTGATAAAAAATTTCATTTGCAAGAAAAGAAAAGAAACCAAAAAAAAAAAACATAAAAAAAGAAGATTGAGTATCTTGTTTGAGAATCGTTAAATAAATTTGAATGTGATTTAATTGGTAGATACTTAAGAAAAACTTGAAGTGAGGAGATTATCGGTCGGGCACTTTAGTTTGCCGATGAACTTACCAGGCGTTTTGATGGTTTGATGAGCGGTCGATTCATACCGTTCATCTTGTGATAAAGCCCGCATGCGTTACAAAGATAATGACCGGTACCGTCCCTCCGCCACAACGGCGTAGAAATTGCTCCGCAATTGACGCATTCTCTACCCTCGCCAAATTGAAAATCCATCGCCGTGTCTAAAATAAAAAAAAACAAAAAAACAAAAAAAAAATATTCAACTTTGTTTCATTAAAAATTAAAATTACTCGGTAGTAATAATAATAAACAAAATATTTCTTATCTTTTTATTTTTTTATTTTTATTTTTATTTCAATTACTTTCAAAATTATCTCAGAATACATAAAATGATAAAAATAAAATGAAATTGATATTAAATTAATAATAAATTATGTTAAGCCTCTATAACATTGATTTATATATGTTTGTTTATGGTAACATTTTAAAAGAATGATTTGTTATCATGAAGAAAATGTTTTGAATCAATTCGAAATGAAAGAAGAAGTCTGGCTCATCGTATTTAAAAACTTAGAAAGGGGAAGGTCTTTGTACTTCGGTGAAAAGCCAGGATAAGACTATTCGCGTTTATCTGACTTGGAGTTACGACCTGGTGCGATACGTGGTGTGCTCTAAACATAGACAAGCTTTAAAAGAGAAAGAGTAAGAGAGAAAGAAGAAAAAGAGTGCTTGCTGCTGCTGCTGCTGCTGCTGCTACTTCGAACGATTTACGGTCGATTCGTGCACTCTCCTGAGAGCAGCAGAATGGAACCAGCTAGCTAGCTAGCTAGCAAGAATTAGCTAGCAAAGGAAAGAGAAATAAAAAGCTAAGAGAAATAGAAAGAGAAACAGAAAGAGAAGAGAAGAGAAGCTTCTGCTTGGCCGATGGTCTTTTACTCGCAGAAGATGCCGCAGAGTCTCTTTCTGGCTAAGAGAAAAGCCTCAGCAACGTGAAACACTTGACCGCGGCGTTGTTCGAGGCCAAGTTGGTTCAAAGAGACCGCTATCACTTATCCGTCGCACATGGCCTACCGAGTGCTATGGTAAACCGACGTCAACCCTAGTCTACAGGGAGGAGAAAGAAAACAGTCTTTCTTTTAGACTGGTTTTTCCCTTTTTTATACGCTAACCACCACCTCTAAAGTTAATCTTATATTTTTCAACAATATTCTCATCTTCTCGTTTTATTAAATTCTTTCCAAAGAATCGTTCGAGTTATGGATTGTAATACGTTTAAAGTTGCATTATTTAGTTTTGTATTTGTCTTGGGATAATACTTCAAAAGTTTGATAGGATTACTATTTGTTAATCTATTTATAATAAATGTGGATTATTAAAAGAAGAATCATTCTACTTTAATTCTATGATTTAATCAATTTTTAACAGAAATAATTATGTATACTTGTTATATGGAAAAGTTTCAAAGTTGCATGTTGTTATTGTGTGTTTGAAATGAATTATATTCCCATTTGAGAATTGATATCTAATAATTTGTTCTTATTTATAATCGAGTGTTAGAAGATGATAATAGATTATTAAGAATAGACAAAATTGAATGATCTATCGATTAAATGTCGTGTTATTGAAATTGTTTTTTTATTGACGAAAGATTACACGTTTTAAAATTTAAAGTAACAGGTAAAAAAAAGTTCTTTCGCGTGTTACTGATGACGATAACTAGGAAAACTTGTCGATAAACTAATCACCAACAGTACGTTAGCATCGTAGTATATCTTATCAACGGATATACGGGCAGTTTGAGTCAAAGTTTCGTTCATTTATCGCTGTATAATATATTGCAATTGTTGTGTGTGCATGTGTGTTGTTGTTGTGAGTATACGATATGAAACTTTTTAACTTGAATTCTCTTTTTTTTTTTTTTTTTTTTTTTTTTGCGAGCCCGTCGCGTCGTTTGCGTTTCGTTCGAGTTTTATAAAGTACGGAAGTTGTTGCGACGGTAAACACATCGATTACTTTCCGTAACATTTTAAGAAGACTCGCTGAGAAATAGTATAACTTGAAAACCTGGTACGATAGATTATGTCCTAGTACGAAGAGAAAACCCAATGATCCTTGGGGTCTAATGCTTTTATGGTCTTCTCACAGATAAAGAAAATAACGTATGAGATTAGAACGAATAGCATATAAGGGAGGTTGAAAAGAAAAAAGTTAGTATATCCTTAAATAGTATGATGATGATAATGATAATGATAATGATGATGATGGGGTTCTCCTCTTTTGTGCAGATTTTTAAATCAATAAATTAAATATAAGTATAAAGAAACATGTGTGCTGATCACACGTGTTAGAAGTGAAATTTTCAAAAAAAACTAAGGTTTCGGGAGAATCAGACTAATACAAAATATTTGGTGTAGGATAATTGTATTTTCTTCTTATTTAGTATCGCGGCCGTTTCATTGGCTCCCACCGCTCTGTTACATTTTTTCAAATCACACCCATTCTAAAGAAGTTTTCACTTTGTCACGTTGTCGAAGTTACTTTGCAATATTGTTCATAAACGAAATAGGAAATGTAGCATTGTAGGAATTGTTGAAGAAGAAGAAGAAGTTATGAAATAAAACAGAATGTAGAAATGAGAGATAAAATAAATGGAATGAACGTACCATATGGCGAAGCACGTTGAAAACCAGCACCATCATAAGCACGCCATGAGGACATCATCGCAACGTTTTGGGCATAAAATGGTGCAGCCGCTGCAAGGGTAGAATGAGGGTGTGCCGTGTGAGGGTGGCCAGCATGAGGATGAGCATGTCCCGTGTGTGGACCCATCGTTGCACTGGAAGCACTCGTGTGACCAGCCAATGCATGATGAGCAGCGTATGTTTCGACGCCATGTTGCCAGGACGCTGTTTTCTCCCTTAAAAAAAGAAATTTATTTTTTCACGAGAATGTCATTAATTATATATTAATTTAATAATTAATAATATATATATATATATATATATATATATATATATATANTATATATATTTATTTATTAGCAGTTATGTAACCATGTTTAAAGTTGTTATTATTTTAACCATGTATTAACAGTTCTTAATTATATTTACTTATTTGGTGACTGCATTCAAATTATATAACGCGAAAGTTATGGTATTACTTTAATTATATATTAATTATATTTAATATTTAACCCTTACCGATCGTCAGGTTTTTATATTAATGATTTTCACTACTTGTAAGTTATATAAGTGGTTTTGGTAAATATTCAACGCGAAATAGATTAATTTTTGTTGAAGAAGTAAGTACTACAAATATATAAGAAATGATTAATTATTTAATAATTAATAAAATATTTGTATTTTTAAGTCACTTCCCATTTAACTTACAAACGATAAGGGTTAATTATATTTAACTGAGCTTTATATACAAAATATAAATTAATTTATACTCAAAAACATACAAAAATATTTTCAATTTATACAGGGTTACATCAGAGTACTTATTAATTAACATTTCATTTCGAATATCTTTGTCGATTATCGTACGATTAATGATTAACGATTTATATATATATAAAAAAAAGAAGAAAAATATTGAAAAGTTGAATTTACCAGGCAGGTGATGCAGAACCAGCGAAGGAATGATATTGTGCTGCCGTGGCTGCAGAAGGGATTGCTGGTCTGGACGAAGGTACGTAAACGGGGGCTTGCAGTTGTTGTCCATGTTGCTGTTGTTGTTGCTGAGACTGTTGCTGATAGTCGGAGCCTGCGCCGTACCCGCCACTTCCGCCCCCGTGGAACATCCTTCCCAAGAGCTACGACCACGGCATCTGTGAATATTTATCTGATAGATAAAAATAGTCTTAATAAGATAATACGATACACAGTGGAATTAATAAGAATATTTTTCTATAGAATTACATTTGTTATAAACATATATTTTCAGCGTATTCAATAAATATGCCTAATGGTAAGTGTACCACCGGTGGTACATGTGGCTTGAAGAATAAGTTTAACGTGTACCACCGGTGGTACACGTGGCACGGAACGTATTAAGTATAATAATTAGTATAGATTTTCCTTACAATTATTCGTTTAGAAATTCTCACTTATTAGAGGTGTATATCATCAGAGAAAGAGAGAGAGAGAGATGTACCAAGTTCACGTTACCTTTATCATTTATCACACACGAAGAAACTTAAATAACATTGGTAAATTTTGTCTTTTCTTTTCTTTTGTTTTCTTATTTTTTTAGGAGTTGGGTGGGGGGGGAGGGAAGAGGTGGATTTTTGTCGTTCCTTTCACAGTCGCTAAGCGATTTCCATTATGCGACTCGATAAACGTCGCCCGGGGGGTACTGGCGGGCAGAGGGAGGGTATAAGAGTATGGAAGTACTAATAGTACAACCTATACTAGATAATGCTAATGGTCTCTTTACAGCTCCGATAAGCGGTCGCGTATGCGCGCCGTCGTGTCCGAGTACAAAACGTAGGATGAGAAATGGCGTGGGTTGTTCATGGGACCCAAGGATGTCTCGAGGGGAGGATGAGGGGTAGAAGGAAGAAGGAGAACGAAGAGAAGGAAAACATTAATAACAAAAAACAAAAATCTACGTCGCAAGATTTGCCGTATATTTTCAAGCGATTCGTTGAAATCACCTTTGATTTGTGAATTTAATAGAAAGTTACGGGGTTTTTTTTTTTTTTAAACATTTTGAATGATCACTAATGATTTGTACTTCTTTTGTACACCACTTTTGATGAGATTTTCAATGTAATTGACGATTTTTAATTGAACACTTTAACGAACACGCTAGCCTATTAAATAGGCTTTCTTTTTTTGTCACCGACGTTTATCAAAGAAAAATTGATTGATCAGCTTTTAAGTATCGATTGACATTGTGATAAAGAGTTGTCATTATCATTAGATGAGCAGTTATTTTTGTTATTAGAATTTTATTTTAGCATTCAATTAAAATTTGTTAGTAAAAGTTGCAGTTGAACTGTCGGGTCAGACGTGTGCATATGCTGTTGAAATCCTAGCGGGGTCGGTAAAGTGTTCAAATTCGAAATCTATTTTTATCTTTCAATCCTTGTAATCATTCGTAAATGATTAAAAAGTAAATAATATTAAACCCTTTAGCTACGGGCGTGTTTTTCACTGCGCTACTCTTTTACTGTACGTTGTTAATACGTTAAGCATCTGTACTTTTACTGTACGGCTGTTAATACGTGCAGCATCGAAACTGTACTTTATTTTTGAATAATTTTGTTGTTGTTAATATTAACAGTTTTTAATTGAAAGAAACAAAATACTAAAATTATACGTCCCATAATGGGATATATTTGGTGTGCTATAACTGCATACGTTCGTCGTATGTAAAACACGCGGAATTCTATGGTAGGCCGTAGTAACAAAAGGGTTGATAATATTGTCAAGGAATTAATTGAATTGTTGCAATTGTAGAAAAGAAGTCACGTCTACATTTTTAATGTTCATTACGATATCGGAATATAAAGAGAATTTGGAAGAAAAACAAAAGAACCGATGGAAAATCTCTCTCATACGTCAAAATGCATTTGATCGTAGAAAAAAAAAAACCGAAATCGTATCAACAAATTTGTCGATAGAAATATAATAGGAATACATTTTGAGGTTGTGTCTTAAAAGATAATTCCGCGAGTCTTATCCGCGGGATAAAAAAAGAAAAAGAAAGAAAAAACTTCTTCGATATTTACTTTCCCGACAAAAATAAAAAATGGCAATGTGTGTTTTTACGCGTATATAGAAATTCGATGTAAAGTCTTATAGTAGTACCGCCCACATGGTATTCATTGTTCGAATACGGATTTTACTGAAGAAGAAGAAGAAGAAGAAGAAGACAAAGACAAAGACAAAGACAACAGCTTGAGAAGGAAGAAGAATCAGAATAAGAATAAGAATAATAAAAAGATTGTGAGTGCCGCCATAGTCGGCACGGAACGGCACGGCACGGCATGGCATGGCATGGCATGGCATGGCATGGCACGTTCCACTAGTCGGCCCTCTGTGGGTCCCTGGGTTCCATGGATGGAACCGGCCTCCAAAGAGCCGAGGGTTGGTTATTTATGGCCGTGTCGAACGTATGGGCTCGCGCGAGAGTAGTAGAAGTATATAACCAGCAAAGAAAAGGATAAAGAGAGAGAGAGAGTGATATTGCTAAGGTTGTGGAGGGATGGAAAGGTTGCAGGAGGGAGGGAGGAAGGGAGGGAGGTAGGGGGAGGAGAGAAAGAGGATAAAGACGAGTCTAGAGTGTGGATGAGTCTGCTGAGAAAAGAAAAGAAAAGAAATAAACAGAGACTAATGTAAAATAAAGAAATAAAGGAGAAAAAAGGGTAGAGAAATCGAAAGAGGAACGATGTTGCGAAGAGAGAGGGCGAAAGGGTGGGAGGGAGAGAAAGAGAGAGAGAGAGAGAGAGAGGATAAAAGGACAGAGGGCGCAGACGCGTCTCCACCTTCTTCTGGGTTCTCCTGAAGAACCGTAGAAGCCGTAGAAGCGGCCATCGCGGTCACGAATAAGGATCGTGTAGGCGGGACCAAAACTCTTGTATAGATGTGTGTGCGTGCGCACAAGTATCCTACATATGTATAGGTTGTATCTTTTTTTTTTTTACATATCTCTCTTTCTCTCTTTCTCTGTCTTTCATTTTCATTGTAATAATATTATTTATTCTAAATCTTTTGACTAATTCTTTTATTTGTTATTAGTAATTATTATTTTAGGGGCGGAAGGGGTTGTGCGGGTACTACTTAATTCGGTGAAAATGATGAAATCGCATCGCAATGACTTAATTTTTGTTGTTTTTTAATTCAGTGTACCTAAGTAAATATACAAATAAAATGTATTATTTCCACAAAGTTATTAAAATACGCGGTTGCATTTTCAATGATCTTTTAATAATCCTTCTGGAATTATCTTTGAAAGTTACTGAAATATCAACTCGTTAAAAGATATATATATATATATGAGTGTGAGTCAGCTTTTATAAGTGTAGTATTTACATAGATATACGTAAGTACTGTAGTTGTATAGAAAGGGAGATTCAGAGAGTACCTCACTAAAATTCAAGTTATCACTTCTCTTGCTACGTTCTCGCGTTCTATTCCATGTAAATACGTAATAGATTCGAGTTTGTAATATCACTTGCTTATACAGAGAGAGAGAGAGAGAGAGAGAGAGAGAAAACATTGAATGTGCAAGGCGTGAATGCGCGCGCGCATTCCCGTGAGGGTGGATGACTACGAAGCCGAAGTATGGGACGACGTTTGTTAAGCAACGTTGACCACGATAAGATTAGATATGTTAGATTTATGCCTTGTGGGCCTTTTCTTCTTTATTTTTTACTTTTTATCTTTATTCGTTTTTTTCTTCTTCTTCTTCTTCTTCGTTTCGTTTTAAGCCACCGTGCTTCTTCTTTTCTTTCTTCCCTCCGGATATGAGAAGGGGGGGGGGGAAGGAAGAGGTAAGGGAGAAGTAGAGGGAAGGGAAGGGAAGGGAAGAGAGAAGGGGTAGTCGTCTTCCCAAGAAAAAGAGATAGANTTTTTTTTTTTTTTTTTTTTTTTCTTAACACCCCGGCGTATCATTTAATCATCTTATCGCGTAATATTTATATATATATGTATGAGTTTCTGTTTGCATTTAAAGAGATTGAAGGAACGTGAGAACTCTAGAGTGGTTAACCTTTTACTTTAGTGAAACAAAATGGTTCTTATTCTATTTAAAAATGGCGTAGAATTTTTTTTTTGGCGGGAGGCAAGGGTGTTCAGACCGTTCAATTTATCATTAAATCAAGTCAGTAGTAGCGTTTTTAAAATATTATAATGATATCTACGAATGTAAATGTTTCAATTGTAGAAATGACAGAGTCAAAAAAAAAAAAAAAAGACATTTTTATTGAAATGTATTACAAGAATATATTATGCGTGACTAAACGTAAAATCGGAGGTTATGTGTGAAATATAAACGCATAGATAAAAATATATACAATGTGATACGGTTGAATAATTTTAATATAAATTATCAGTCTACATGTAATTTCTCGTCGATCGAGTGAATATTATTTAAATAACGAACTAATCGAAATTGTAATAAAATTGAAATGAAATTTACTCTCTCTCTCTCTCTCTCTCTGATGTATGACATTTATTATAATCGCCCGGCATTTTCAATTCAATCGGACATCTTTAATTTCGATGTTCAATCTTCTCTCACAGATGTCACCTCAATCTGCTTGTTAGATTTAAATTTTTTTTTAATTCTCATACGCTAGAGGTCGCGATATGAATAATCTTTCTCTATCTCTTTTTTCTCATACACACACACATAACACCCACATAATAAACACATGCACACAGTTATTGCATTATAATAATGATTAACGCAATCAGCTAAAGAAAAAAAAATTAAAAAAAAAAAAAAAAATAACAAATAGAAAAGAAAAGTAAAGAAAAGAAAAAAGTAAAAACTAAAAAATAATTAAAAAAAAAAAAAAAGAAAAGGAAACCATAAAAAAGGAACACTCTCGTAGTCTCTCGATGCACGCGATATATCGGTGCGACCTACACGATAATTTAATTGCTGTCATAAATTAAATATCGGCAGGCGACGCGACACGATCGTTTTTCTTTCGGATGGCGGATGGCGGATAGAACCATGGTAAGCAAGCAAGTAAGCAAGTAAGCAAGCAAGTTAGTAAAAGAAATACAGTAAGAGAAATAAAGAAAGAAAGACTATGAGAGAGAGAGAGAGAGAGAGCGAGAGAGAGAGAAAGAAATAATATATACGTGAGCAAATTCCAATACACG